TTCTTACCCCTAACAACACCTGTGCACCATGCTCTTGCTGGAATACTACGAAAGGTGTTTCTATGGAGTGTGGTTCCAACTCAGACAATCCAGAATCACTCATCCAAGCCATTGTACGAGCAGGGGAGAGCAACATCACATCATTGTAAGTCCACGAAGTTTCTCCGTTCCCAAACGAGCTCTCCAGATCGTCTCCCATTCATTAGCATCGACGTGTTGTCTCACGCCTGTTGTCCGTCGGAGCATAAAGCGATGAGCAAGAGTATTTCCTTCGCTCGTCAATCAAAAGCATCGACAAGTCTGCGTTCTCGAAGCCTGAACGAGAAAGCTCACTTCAGACGAACTTTTTGGAAGAGATCGACATGTCGATTCCAGAAGCCCCTCGTCATGATACGCCTCTTGTTCGAGCATGCTCAGCTACTCTAGTGCCTTTGCTCCCGTACTCGTCGTATAATAGCAAGGTCCGTGCCAGAATTGACTCTGATACGCCTCCTTGCAGACTGGGTCTGCTTTCTTCAGAAGAATCGCGTTCGATAGTCTTAGAGAATGATGGCAGGGGGAGAGAAAGCGCACTCCGAGCCCACGGCAGTACCTGGCCGGATCGCTCCATGTTATCAGTTATCGCGGAAGCAGATTCCCAGCCTGAGACATCAGATCGAGAAAGTCGACGCCAGAATTTGGTTGTGCTCCGCTTACGGGGGTAGCACACGTCACTGCTGGGGGTAATAGCCTCGGAACCCTCTCTCGGAGGTCATTGCCCCTGGAGCGGGAGATAGGTGAGAAAGGGTCGCGGCAGCGATGGGATTGTATTCGGAGTCCAGAGAAGCCCCAAGCAGGATATGACGAGGCTTCGCCGAAGCACACATTCTATTACCCAGAGGGAAGCATGCAATCACGTCCGCGACCCATACGATCACGGACCGAAATTCTACCTATACAGGCCGAGAGTTTGGGACACTCTAGAGGGCGAACCGGCTCCACTCAGACGAGAATGAGCTGTGCGACGCGTTATCGCCCCCCCCCGGAATTCACGACACTGATCGAGAATGGTGAGTCCCGGTATCCCCGTCTTCACGGTCCCTTCTCGGAACTTACGAGCTCAGCGCGACTACACGGCCCAGGCTCGAAACGTCTGGGGGGGGTTAGGTATAGCCGACGCCGGGTACACAGGCGCGAGAGAGACATGCTTCGTCCGCAACACAACCGGGAGCAAGAGGAGAGTCATCTATCCTACGAGCTGGGGTACACATTCTCTTCACCGCGATGTTTTGGGGAACAACAACAACTTAATCTTAATAATACGGGATTTCCGAAGGTCCACGGCGCGTGTGGACAGCGGCGGAATCGTGCTCCGCGATATCGGATACCAGCATACTGCTCCTAACCAAGGTCTGACAAACGACCGTTCGCCTTTTGATTCTCGGTACGGAGGCGTGATATTCTTTCATAGACTTATGCCCGATTCAGCAATTCGAGACGCGGGATCTCTCAAAGTTTACGGAGCGTCATGTGTGAGATGTTGAATAGAGAGTCGTGACTCAATCCTGGGTTTCCTCAAAGAGCCCAAGGTCTATCAGGAAGAATGTCGCCGGAGAACCGAAAACTCAAGATGGAACTTGTTAGAATCGAGCGAGGTTCCTCGCGATTCCGGAACTGCTCGATCAGGACAATTCGCTCGGGAAGCGATGTATGAGGAAGCGTCGGTCTGTCCTGGCCTCTTCTGCCAGCCAGACAATCATCTTACGTGGGGCAAGTTTTTTCATCCCCTCGTCATACGCTCCTCTTGCTGTCATGGCCCACAACGCGTCGGTGGTCCGACTCGGGCCTGGACTAGGATTCTTTTGGTCGGCTGCGTGGCTAGCTGGAGATCGCTCCGCGTGGGTGCTTTCAACCTACCGCGTCGTCGTCAGCACTCGCAGAAGTTTCGCACATTCTGAGTATCGGGGAAGTCATGCCTCCGAAATAGGAATCTCAGAGGAAGGCCGCTCGGAAATGCGCGGGCAGCGTCAATTGAGCTGCAGTGTTCTGTGGGGCCACTTGCGAGACAATCTCTACCAACCAATGTACATAGGTGTTTCTACGAGACGGAAACTTCCGGAGAGACCGCAGCGTCCGCGAACATTGGCCTCGCGCTTCCTCACGGAGATCGGGGAACCGGAACGATAAAAAATGCGACCCTCGGAGAGTCTGAACGCGATTTTTGGATCAGCGGCCCTTCTACGAACTTCATTTGTGCATAGATTTGCGGCAAAGGCTGTCTGAAGAGTAGTAGCTCTCGTCGCAATCGGGGAACCCACGCATTCACCGTAGGAGCCTTCCGATTTCATCAGCCTTGTGCCTTTCGGCTCATATGTATAGGGGGCGGAGATACGGAAGGTAGTTTTTCATTTTCGGATAAGGTGCCCGTTCTAAGGAGCTCTGATCGATGGAAAAATCTCGGCCGGCTTCTTGTGGTTTAGGCTCGAGGGATCCATGTAGAGTCCTAGATAAATCGAAATCCATTCAGCCTGTTCAAGATTTCACTCCCAAAAGCCATAACCCCCAGGGGCTTTTATTAAGAAGCTCATAGGAATCGCCCTACAGTCGACGCCTCGTCATACGCTGTGGGGCTGCATCTCAGATTCCGATCCTTGCGATTTTAGCTTTGGTTATTCTGCTCTCCACCATGTCTGGCTGTGGTGATTTCTGCCTCTGCTATTTGGGCTTGTGGGATTGTGTACCGGTGACATAAATATTCTTCGGAGTGGACTCGACAGCCAAGGTTGAACGCCTCGGGCATTAATTTCGCATGACTTCCGGGGACGCATTCAGAGAGCGAATGTTCCCAAGAGGATCAAGGCCGAATACGTTCTCCTCCGTTAAGGAATTCCGTAAGCAATATCTTCAGCAGGCACGCTTATCGGACCCACGCCGCCACCCGAACGAGCGGCGGTGCGTCGTTTTGTCAATTAGAAGTCACTCCGTGAAGAGCACGTGCGCACAGGGGGTGACAAACTCGCAAACCACCCGACCACTAATCGGCTCCGAGTCCCAACTAGGCTTTGCAGAGAACCGCGAATTCCCTAAACCGCGCTTCCGGAACCGCGGGCAAAAACCGCAAATGGAACGCATTTTGCTTAGAGAAAACTTGATTTTCTAGTCAGGTTTTCGTCTATGTTGTGCGTAAAGAGCTAAAGCTCGCATGTAATCCTGAAGGAGGAATGGAGAAACCCTATTTGGAATAAGAAATCGTTCCTGTCTGATTACAGGCGCTACGAACTATTTTCTGATTCACTTCTGATATGGTATCCACGTGGGGGAGTCTTCCATGAAGGTATGGAATTCTTTATTGGAACCTATCAGCCAAATGAGCCTTGGAGGCTTTGTGTGAGACAAATTACGAGATGTCATGCTGAAACGCGTCACGGAGCGTGCTTATATCATTGAGGCTTCGCGGCTTCAACTTGGCGCGGTTTCCGCCAAACAAGACGCGGACCACGTAATATCGCCCTCCGGCTGAAGCGCTCTCGGAAGAATGGCGTCGAGTATCTTCAGGCCCAGATAGAGGAGGTGAGAGGAAAGACACTTCATCCGTCATCGGGTGATGAGTATTGACGCCCTCCTGTGCTCCGGAAGAATTCAACATTCGAAGGGATTGCTCACCCTCATGCGAACGACGCACAGAGCTTCGTTGGAGCCGCGTCCAAACTCGATTCCTAGGCTTCTCGGTAGAGAGGTATCCAGCCATCATTGCGGATCGAAGACTTTTCCCGAGCCTCTGCGAGAAATCCTATGGTTCCAGCAGTGGAATTCTCCTCATGGAACCCGACCGAGCCGACCACTCCGCGATGAGGAGAAACGTAACGCGACCTGTGATTCTCCACGAGAACCTGATCAGGAGCCACCCATAGATATGGCGAACACGTCAATTAGGTCGAGTACTCGCAACTCTCAGAGTGAATTGTGATGAACTGCTCGTCCAGGAGAGGACCTCGAAATTCTCCTTCGATGGCTGCAACTTCGCGTGCCGATATGATCGGGATTAAGGCGGAGCGTCCCCAGATCGAGTTTCGCCTTCTAGATCGGGGAATTCGCATTTTGGTTCGAGAAAGCGGTCGGTCCCGGCATCAGGTTGACCTACCTAGCGGGTTCCACTGTACTCACTTACCTCTGACGAAGTCTCCAGCATGTCCGCGTGAATGTTTAGACTTCGCTTGCAACCAGTAGATCAGGAGGATCAGGAGAGAGATGAGCTTTCTCGAGAGGTTCGGCAAATGGGACGTTCAATGAATAGATTCATTATCACGCGGAGCTTGACAGATCTCGCATCCGGCGACATATTTGAGTGGAGCAGTATGCTTGCGACGAACATAAAGATAGATAATCCGAAGGAGTCCCCCCCTATCCAAACCTGCTATCCACCCCGGAAAGAGTGCCAAGTCCGAAACCCTGTGCAGAAATCGAGTGACGTCCATTTTGCGGTTCCGAAACCACACGAACCGCGAAATCCGTGCCAGAACCGCTGCAAAGCCTAGTCCCAACTCACGAGGATCTTGGAGCGTTACTCTCCGATATCGACTTCGTCCGAGGTCGCGACTCAGGCTGAAGTTGCCGATCGCCGACGAGTGCGCTTGCGGCCCATGAACCAACCACCTTGATCGGATCCATTGGCGAAAGCACGGCCTAGCTAGCCTGATCGGGGCCCAGGGCGAGTCGCAAGGAATGCGTCCCGGCGCAATCATCTCTTCCTAATGGGCATAGGTAGAGCAATTGATTGTACCCAAGAGATCGTCTGCTCTGTTCAAAGCACACAGAATATGGTCTCATTGCGACGAGATCAGAAGTGCTTCCGACGGGCCTTCACGGATGCAAATTTCCGATAATGATCAAGTTCAAGTTTTTGCTGTTTCTGTCGCCCATCTCGCGATGCTCGAGAGAGACAGAAGAATCGGCATCCCCTGGCCCATTGAGGCTCGAAGATGAGGAACGATCTTTCCGGGAGAGCTGGCCCACTCCTGAAGATGAGCGCTCGGGGGTCACCGAGGTAATGTGGACTTGAATCACGATTTCGCACCTCGGGGAAGCTGCGCTTAGGTCGAACGCTCTGGTTTGCCTCCCGGTCGTCGCGGGGAAAGAGCGATTTCCGCGACTGAGCATATCCCGCATCCCGCCTAATGAGGTGACCGAACCACATGAAGACTCTCAATCTAATTCGCCGCAAATTCCGTCTTTGTGAGCCTATATTCAAGCGTTCACAGAATTTCGGGTCCGAGATTCAATGGCAGGACGCTCCGGGCCACTAGGCAACGAGCTATAGGCGAGCTTGAGAGGAGTCCGAGTAGTTGCTCCGCAAGAGTGAATACTGGGTCGAGAGCTTCGTCGTATGCCGATTAACGCTCCAGAAGGGAATCTCTATGGGCTTTCTTGGGTCCTCCTCGCCCTCCATCTACTTTGGTCTCTTTGAAAGGGCCGCTAACTTCATTGTAGAGTTCGTTCCGTGAACCCCGATCCTGACAACGGGACGGGATCGGGGACCACGGAAACCCAGAAGTTCTTCCGTGGCCATGCCCTCCAGAGTCACCGAGACCAGGGAGCCGGCTCTGGAACGGCTGGTTTCACCCGGACTCTCGAGCCATCAGCCAGCTCTACAGTTATTTCCCCTCCCAATGATAAAGAACGGTGAAGCGCGCGTTTTTCATCGTTGCGACCATACTATCCGCCTGGCTATGGTTTTGCGGATGTCGAGGCGGGCTGCGGAGGTGACTGATTCCATATCACTCGCGGAATCTTGCAAACTCCAGCGGAAGGGATTTCCGGCCTTTGTCCGAAACGAACGTTTCTGGTGGCCCGAAATCGCGGAAAACGGCCCTCATGAAGGCAACCGAGGCTGACTAGTGGCTTCCTTCCAAACGGGCGTCCTCATTTCCTCGCCTGATGCCTGATCAGGATCAGCCTCATAACTCATAACCTCCCGCGGGCAAACTTAAAAGACATGGAAGTCGTGGTTTCCCGTTCATGACGCCTCGAGGATCTCGAACGTCTCGATTGAGGATCGAGATTCGAAGCCAACATTAGATCCGCTTGGCCTCTGCAGTGATGGCACCTTGTGCTCTTCGGGGTGCTCGATGGGGATTGATCACGAATCACTTGATTAACTGCTTCTCATCTTAAATTCAAGGGCGATTTCGTCGGTAGCCGTACCACCCGAGGATATCCGATTGTCCCCAGCTCTATCCGGGATCAACGTACTGTGAGTAGCAAAGTTTGTCGAGAATGGGTATGACACCCGAGATTTCAGAGCGCGTTAACGAGGCTTCTGTTACAGAGTTTTCGCAAACCTCAGCTGGACGCACTTGCCGGATCTCCGCGGCCTCAATAGGCTCGTCGAATTGTGAGTATCCGTTAAAGATATCCCAAAAGAGACATATCTCCCCCTTGAATCCAGCAGGAAGGGCGATAACCCCCGTTCGCCTCATCCTGAACTTTGGAAATTGAATCTAAACTAGAATATAGTAATATCGGTGAAGCCAGAATCGAAAGACACTTGATCTAGAGGGACAAGCGTGGAAATACTTCCCCTTGTTTTTGTATATTTGGATGTATGTTTTCGTATCTCCTTTGAACGTTCATCACAGGTTTGCCTTCCGGTGTTCGTTGGACGAAGTACCCGCAGCGCTCTCCTCGGGTGACAGCGCTTCTTCTCTTGTTATTCTGTAAGCGAGGAAAAGCTATCCTCATGACGCGAAAGATAGCATGCCGCTAACCTGACGAATCGGAGCTTGCCGGGCCGTTCAGCCGGTCATCAGTAGCATTCTCCTCATAGAGAACGGAACCTGAATGAAAAGACTTGTCATTGCTTTGCTGCTTCAGCATTACGAATAGTGCGACCAGGGAACAACTCAATTTACCTACATGCAACGCTTAGCGAAGCCGCCTGTCAAGTTTTGAAATCATCCGGTATTCCAGACTGAAAGGCGTCTTCAATAGCCATGATTGGTCGCGGTAATGGGTTTAGTCGGGAGAAATCGATTCTGACTCGGCGAATATCCGCTGAGTCGAATCGTAATCCTCGATACAGAGTACCAGCAGTATCTCAACGATTCATTTGTCCGGACCATCCTCATGTCACTCATCCCATCATGAAGAATGTCGTCAAGAAAGGGGTTTGGATGTCAAGAGTTGACAGCTCCCACGACTCAATCGAAACCGCGATCTTGACTCAAGTGGTTTCCGGGAGACGTCCGGGAAGTTTCACCTTTCCCGTCGCGGCGGACAATTCCAAACTGTGTTTTCGATCGTAGCGGGAACCGCTTTGCCTGACAGGACTTTCTGAAGTCTGACGTAAATCTTCCCTTAGAAAGCTTCCTCGGGAACTTGCTCGTTGGTAGAGAGATGAATGATTTCCCGCATATCCGTCGTGCTAAGTTTTGGTCAGGTATCGAGATGGGTTCGGGCTCGAGATTCAAATATATTCACGGATAATTTCAGCTCCTTGGCCGGGAACAAGCTGAGAAGAATTCCCGAGCTTGCTTTCGATGGTCATTACAATTTGGAGAAGCTCATCATCAGTAGGAACCGGATAGATTATATTCATCGACGAGCCTTCGAATCTCTAGCCTCGTTGAAAGTCTTGTGAGTATTCCGCATAGGGGCCTTCGCTGAATTCTTTCCCGTCGTCACTCACCTTATTCATGACAATATGCATTTATATCTCATCGCAGAGACCTGAGTCACAACATGCTGATCTCCATTCCTGATTGCCTGGCTCCTCTGAAACAACTGAGCGAATTGTAGGTGTCTCCGAGCAATCCTCGCGATATTTCTCCTCGTGCATATACCGTAAATCTTCTGATAGAAGAGCAGTCTCCAATGAACGGGCAGATTCCGGAGGGTTGATAGAATATACGGCTAGTCTCCAATGAATGGGCACCGAGAGAAGGAACTGAGGGACCCACGTGGCGAAAATCGCGGACCTCCTCTCGCGGGTGCTTTGTGTGACTTCTCGGCATCGTCGCGGTGAATATTTCATCGATCCAATATAGTCTACCAATATGACTGACCGGCCTTAATTCACTCGTTTGGGGGCGGAAGAAATAGACGGGCAGTCTCCAACAGACGGGCAGGTTTCGGAGGGGTCGAAAATGAGACGGGCAGGTTTCGGAGGCGTCGAAAATGAGACGGGCATGCCCTTAAATCAGAATATTCACGGTATATTCGTTTTCTGTTTAGATCGATACGGACGATTCCTCCCACAGGATCCTCACCAATAACCGCATTTCCTACGTTGGCGAGCGGGCTTTCTCATCCTTCACACATCTTGTCGTCTTGGAGCTTGCGGACAATCCTTTGGATTCTTTCCATCGCAATGCTTTCGCTGGCATTCAGAAGTTGAAGCGCCTGTTAGTATTCCCGAATCATTTCTAACACCTCTCTCTCATTTCCAAGCCCCATAGACTCTCGGCTGATAGAATGGTTATGATCTATGATCGATAATTGATTTCTTCACTGCACATTGCTTACAGAATGCTGAAACAAGTGCCAAACCTTGAATATTTCCCCAACTTCAATGGCACTGATTCCCTCGAGCAGCTCCGACTGAGTAGAGCACGCCTAAGAGCGTTGCCTCCGAATTTGTGCGAAGTTCTGCCAAAGCTCAAAATTCTGTAAGTATATTCATAGACAAATGAAAGTGACTTATTCGATAAATTCTCTGGGTACACATAATATCGACATACCAATGCTTCTCATCACTTCGTTCAGGTACTTGATGTCGAACAATCTGAGCGCCATACCCAACTTGGAGCATTGCCGTGATCTGCTCATACTGTGAGTACCTGACGATGATTTCCTCCAGAGCTTCTCTCTCGTTCGTAGATTCTCTCAAGAATAATACATGCACAACATACATAGCCTCAATGACAGCGCGGGGGGCACTCGTTCCGTCGCATCAACCAAAACGTATTCGGAGCGTTCCCGGAGTCAGCCTGCAACATGCAGCACTGCCGTCATACAGCTCGACGACCCGAATATACACCAATATGCGAGAATGCAATAACTTCTCATCAGTGAAGCGATGGTCGACGGCCGGCTATAAGACCTAGGTTGTGTTGCTTGGTATCCAGACCGTCTCAGAGCTTCGCTGGACATTTGTTGTACTGCACGGGATTACCGAGCGCCTTCCACGGGATCCACCTGATGAATCGCGGGAAATTCTCCAACCTTCGAGCGGAGCCGGCCGCTATCGGTTGGTCCCCAGTCGAGCCCGAAGGTCCATCCCGCTTTCGTTCACGATTCTGCACTATGGAGTTCTTTGAGACAATATTCCTCCGATATCGAATGCAGGGTTTGTCCCCCAAAAGAGGGCAGGTGCCCCTTCGGTGGGGCGTGGGACAATCCTCTTCCCTGTAGAAGCCTACGGGTGGTGGGGCGCGAGTTAACACGAGTGGGGCCTGGCGAAAAATCCGAGAGAAACGACCAATGGTGTAATTCCTTTGCAGTGACTTGACTTACAACCGGATAAGCTCCATTCCCTCGAAGGCTTTCTCCACGCTCAGTAGTCTACGTGATCTCAACCTCGGAAATAATTTGATCGCTGAAATCAACAAAGATACATTCGCTGGGCTCCGTAGACTTCAAGTACTGTGAGTTCTGCGACTGTCCTGCGGTAGCTACCCACTTGCTCTGGCATCGATAACATGACTAAAATCGGAGTCTCGATTCGCAGAGCGTTGGAGAAGAATAAGATCAGCTATATACACAGTGACGCCCTGTTACCGTTGACAGCTCTGGAAGATCTGTAAGTATGTAAGCCTGAGATTGGTTCACCGCGCCTTTCGTCGCAGGTGCAAGCTCTCATGAGCCGGAATAGAGCGGAGATGATGAGCGATCGAAGACGCTGCGGAGGCCCACCTTACCCGACGCTGCGTTTAGCCAGGGTCAGAAACAATGTACCTACTCCGATCGCCCTCTCAGCTATGATCGGTTCAATACCCAACTAGTCGAGCATAACTAGTCGAGTCTTTCTCGTGTGCTTAATGCTGAGCGATTTGTCGTATACTCCTCATGATGATTCGATCGATTCACTCACTAAGAGGACGCCCAAGAAATGACTCGAGTCAGAAGTAGATTCACGTTACAGTCCATCGTTCTACAATTTTTCTCCATGGAAAAAATATTGTGATACCATTCGCGTGGTCAGGCTCAGCGAGGCGATCAGACCGACAAATCTATTCTCTCGCCGTGCATGAGCATCCCTCGTCACAACTTTCTGAATGAGGGAGTCGGCCAGTGTCTAGTATCTCCTTATCATACGGATGATCCTGACCGTTCACTCTCGTTCCAGGAATCTGGCCGAGAACAGCTTTCCGCAGCTTCCCCATGCGGGCTTGACGAATCTTCGTCGAATCGCTGTTTCGAACAACCCAAATCTGCGAGACTTCCCCCCGCCGGAATCCTTCCCACGCATCACACGTCTTTACCTGTCATATTCGTATCACTGCTGCGCATACACGGAACCTAACGAAGATTCAATACTTGGTTCTGGCTTCCGATTCAACGGCCCAAGACCCGAGAAAAAAACGACGGTAGCACCCGACACCATCTTGTGGCTGAAAGAGGGATTCGGGGATAAAATTGATTTCGGCGAATGGAACAGATCGCATGAAATCGGTTATCTCGAAGGTACGTTCCGCGATGCTCCAAAGCACCTCGAGCTCTCGTCTCACGAACTTGAAAGCTCTTACTTCACTGAAGCTCTCCTGTTTCACGCACCTCTCTAGGCAATTCATCCGAAAAGTTCCCGGAGTTTGCTCGCGCGCTTTTCAAAGTGTTCGGCCCCGACTACATAATTCCCGACAACCTAGCTCAGTACGCAGAGGAATATCTAGAGGATTATAAAAGCACTGTGGAGTCCCCTGAATCCCACCGCATCCCTATCACGTGTTTACCCGCACCGAGTGAGTCCAGAAGTATCAGTGTACTACAGGCATCATCCAATGGTAGTCTAGATTTCTATCCGCGATCCTTTACGTTTACCACTCCCGCAATCCGGAGATACTCACCAGATATTGTCGGAGCTTCGACTGATATACCTGGCTTATGACTATGTCTGCGGAAGTACGATAGAATCAAAATGGAACATGACTGTCAATACATGTGCTCATGAAAGATGAGCGTGACACACTTCGTAGGTGTGATTCATTGATACCTCGCACTTCTCCCGATCGCGACAGCGTTACACAGTTTACGCTGCGTACATCTATGAGCTCATGCTCACATCTCCGATCCTGAATTGGTCCTAAAATATTTTTCTTCTTCTCTTAGCTCCGTTCATGCCCTGTGAAGATCTCTTCGGATGGTGGACCCTCCGATGCGGTATATGGGTGGTGTTTCTGCTCGCATTGCTGGGAAACGGACTCGTTGTAGTCGTGCTTTCATTTGGTCGCTCTAAAATTGATGTACCTAGATTTCTGGTGTGCAATCTAGCGATGGCTGACTTTCTCATGGGAATATACTTGGGGTTCCTCGCAGTGGTCGACGCCTCTACCCTCAATGAATTCAAGGTGAGCTACACAATCCGCTGAGCTGCAAAAGATGAGACCCAGGCATCAAAGCCTGAAGCCCACAGGCCCATTCGGAGCCGAACACGTGAAGCATGTCGCTATCATATCTCTTCTACTCTGTACATGGAAACAGATGTATGTCCGTTGCCAGCCGTGGACACTGCTCAGTCGGTTACGTAGTTCTGGGATCCGACGGAGACATACATTAATTAAAAATGGCTCTCTCAAATCAGCGAAGACGCTGCGCTGGGGGTGATTTCACTGATAGCTCGAGAGTCTACCACTACTTCTCGTCTTCTTTGGGGGGACGGGGAGGAGAGCGCGATGGGAAAAAAGAGAAAGAGGAGAAGGGAGAACGAGAAGCTCTTCATTTGGATGCACTGAATCCCAAGATCGCTGCGGAACTCGAGACATGAGTCATGAGACTCTAAGGACTGAATCGACGACAAATATTGAGATGAGCACCTCGTGAACTCTACCGAGGATGAGACTTCCGGTGCAGTGTAGGCCGGGGGTGGAGTAGAAGAAGACTCCGAGCATTTGGAAATCTCGCTGTAATTCATCAGATTATCAGGAATGGTTTATTTCGGACTTCCCTTCCTGACTTTTTTCCGGAAACAGACCCTGAGCTCTCCTGTCCCCCAGAATGATCAAAAGCAATGTTCGAGACCGGGAGCGCATTTGATCACATCGACTCGAAGCACTCTGCAAAGCTCGAGCATAATTCTTCTACCTATTCGTTGCAGTTCTACGGAGTCGCGTGGCAAACGTCATTCGGTTGCCAACTCGCCGGATTCTTCGGAGTATTATCGTCAGAATTATCTGTATATACGTTGGCTGTCATAACAATGGAGCGAAACTATGCCATAACTCATGCCATGCATCTGAACAAACGTCTATCGCTCAAGCACGCCACGTACATCATGTCAATCGGCTGGAGCTTCGCGCTGATCATGGCTATCCTTCCATTGTTCGGCATCAGCGATTACCGCAAATTTGCTGTATGCCTTCCTTTCGAAACCGGCGATCAAGCGTCGATGACATATGTCGTATCTCTGATAGCGGTCAACGGCGTGGCCTTCCTCATTCTGATGGGATGCTATCTCAAGATGTACTGCGCAATTAGAGGATCTCAAGCGTGGAACTCCAATGACTCCCGTATCGCGAAACGGATGGCTCTCCTAGTTTTCACCGATTTCCTCTGCTGGGCTCCGATAGCCTTCTTCTCTTTGACCGCCGTGTCCGGCATGCACTTCATCAACCTCGAAGAAGCTAAAGTCTTCACGATTTTCGTTCTGCCTTTGAATTCCTGTGCCAACCCATTCCTCTACGCTATTTTCACTAAGCAATTCAAACGCGACTGCGTCCTGATCTGTAAACGCATCGAAGAATCACGCGTCACCCGAGGTGAGACTCTATTTCCGTTCCGCCTGCATATCCTCATATTGCATATATCTGGCACGTTTCACCCTCAGAGACTGGTGCGAAAGAAAACACTAAGGTCGTTTCCCACCATTGCGCCTCGAGGAGATGGATGTGAACCTCTGTGTTCATAACCTGAATAATGTTCCCGATCGTCGGGAACGAACGAATCGCTTGGGGTTCACGGTGTCGTTATCTATGTCTCCCTCCCTCTCTTATTGTACGATCCCTCTCTTTCGCGGGAGCTTCTATCTTGCACGGTATCTCTTGTGACCAATTGAGAAATTATTCATGCTTCAATTCGATAATGAGACTCGATCGGACAGATCACCTCACAAAGTGTTTGTACAGAACGACGTCCTTAATGTGATCAGGGTGAAGGAGGGGGCTGATTGGACATGGCAACCTGCACAAAGAAACGTAATTCTTTCCGATCTCTGCGGGCTTGAGCACCTTCAGAGGCCTCGGAGGACGAGGGAGGAGAGGGACTAGCACAGAAACCCTGCTTCGTCGTATGCTTGCTTTCAAGTCAAATCATTTTATCTGAAGGGATTGGAAGGTGTCGGCACTCGTCGAATTTCTCCAATCGGCACACGCTGGTCAATACGAACTCAGCAGGCGAGCGGAAGAGTGTCTCGAACGAGCATCACTGTCAGTGCCAATGCGGCATGATCAAAAGCATCACTAGGGACCACCTCATATCCTCGGAAAGTGGATGGAAGATGTTCGCTCGCAAATATCTCTTGTGCCAAGAGATCGAATCAGTGAGTTTGTTTCGCGTCCCCGAGGATGAACCTCCACATCCTGTCTGTCACTGGAGCTCCCCGAGTTTCGAACATATTCGCGAGAAGATTAGAATTAGCTGTCGAGAGATCCGATCATGACTTCTCAGATGTTCAACTTTTTTCTCAGGAAACAGAATATAATGCCTACAACATGGCCCTGGTCCGAATACAGCGGAATCTGGAGCGAGGAGCCCATAGAACGTCTTCAATCAGCTCCGAAAACTTCAGTTCGAGATCAGACAGCTGGCGACAAGGAAGCATACCGTTGCGATTGTTGGACCGCGTCAATGGTCAGAGGAAGGGCGCCAAGTTGGTGAAGCGCAAAACATCTCAGGTGAACCCTTCATCGGCCTCCTGGTCCTAAGGAACTCTTAGGGAAGCAAGCCTATGGTGGACGGGGCGGCTAATCAGACTTGTTCACTTCAGGATTCGAGCATAAGCTGTAGCCGTCAGGATTCCTCGACATCGACTGTCCGGATGACATCGAGGTCCTCAGTGAGCAGCGGTGAGGCGAGCCAATTGCTCCGAAACCTTCATTTCGGCCACGGTCATTCCCATGGAAGTCTCCCTATGCACCGAGGAGGTGAACCCATCGGTCGCGGAATGGCCGCCCAGCTAACTAAGCCCCTCGATCCCACACTGCAACGTTTGTATCGTGCACCCACCACAACCAATAAACCTCAACTGTGCCGTCAGTTGGCAATGGACGACGGCTTTCGCAACTTATCGAATAACTCGGCCTGCCAGCAGCATCAGCCCAGTAGATCAACGCCATCTGATCTTCGTCGCTTCAAGGGTGAGTGAGTTGGCTGCGGGGAATAAGATGCGCAGGAAGTTTCAGGCTGATGTAATCGCTATCGTCGCAGCGGATATACTCTAGTTAATCTAATTAAATCTTGAACTCCGTTCCAGCCGAGCAACTCTGCTCGCTGTGCGCTCGGAAGGAGCTAAGTCTCATGAATTCTCTCAGCTCAACAGCACCGAGGAGCAAAGATGATATCAAGTTCAATTGCTACTACAGTAGATTGACGGAAACTAGCCGCGAAGACTCTTCTGAAAATAATTCGAAAGATGACCAGCATATGACTATTCCTGAACAAATCGACGATCATCATCACCACCATCATCATCATCATCATGTCAAGAATATTGACACGAATAACACCAATTTCGATAATACTAATTCAAACTCCGACGGAGATGCTCATGGCCATTCAATTCCGAGCACGGCCACAACCGGAGTCACGTCGTCCGACGGCAACAGTTACCCCGAGCCTCTCGAGATCTCCGATGACATTCAAGGAGGAGGGATGACATCAGAGTCGTCGTTTCGCGACGAGCGGCACGACGACTTCACTTCTAGCAACAAAAAACGAAAACACTACATAAGTGTCGATGATATTAACGCCAAAGAGTTTCGTTTTCCAACAAGAGCTAGTCGTAAAACGGCCTCTGACAATTCTCTGAAAAAACTCTCGCTCCGAAACCTGCCCCAATTCCTACGACAATTGTCTAGTCAAAGTCCGCGAGGGTCGACTCAGAAAATCGGTCACACGATGGGTGGATCCGTGCTGGGTAAGCTCCAATCTTGAACCTTACTCAAACCTCAGCGCTCCAGCTCAAAACCTCAGCGCTCAGCTGTCTCCTCACGGAATCGAATCCTTTCCAGGTCAAAATCTGAACTTACCATCGAGCGGCCTGCCATCGTCGAAAAGCGATACCGGCATCGCTCAGAAAGACGAATGGGGAGGAAGCCTGCAGCCTCACACCGAGCAAGAAGCCAGTACTGACTCCGAATCGGACCAGTCTGAGATACGCTTCGTCGCCGCACCGTCGATAGCGATCCAAACGTCGCCACAATTCGCCGATTGCGAAGAAAACGACGACGTCGCCGAACTTTCTCCTCTCATATGATAATCTTCCCTCAGTGCGACCACGTCACAGTTGAGTTTCTAGCTCTAGCGAGTTCTGGCGTTAGTGTTAGTAGCCTGTCGATTTCATCCCCCGATCATACCTCCCTCATACAAGGAGTCGCCTCACAACCAGATTGCTGCGCTGCAACTTTCGCTGGAAATCTTCTATCAGATACGTAATGCACTGTATACCGCCCGAAATAATGAAAACGTTGACGATCGATCTCGACCAATTTCACGACCCCCTCGAAGCACTCTTGCGAATGAGACGGCACTGAACGGACACGTTCGCTCTGTGTGAATACCTGAGAGAGATGAGGCACGCGTCCGGAGCCGGGGATGCATACACAGACCTCCGCGAGGGGAAGCGCTCGGTCCATATCTGTAGATACTCCGGCAGCATGTCAAGCACAGGCGAAGCGGAGACATTCTAAGAAGCCTGAGGGATCCATCCGGATTCGAGCCGCATGATGAATAAAGTTCAGAATATGTATAATCGATTCCAGCGCATGATTTCATAGAGCGGGCTAGCGGAACCTTGGGGCGGACTCCTCCGCCGGAGCGGGTCATCAAATGAGAAGAACACTGAACAGAATGAGGGTTCGCGCGCCGGGCGAGTATCCAGGATATCGATGTAGGGGGCCAGCTTATGCCGCAAGAAGCTACTTCGCTTCATCGTCGTAGCTATCTGTGATCGGGACTCCTAGCATCACACCCATGACCCATGCGATAGAATCAATCACTGGAAGACTGTAGACCGTCTCCGAGAATGTAAGGGCGGTGATTATCGCGCTTGAAGGGGTTCTCGGAATAATCTCACTCCAGTAGGAAAGCAGGGAGCTATTGAAAAATAACATCTCGACGTGTGGAGCGTCGATAGAGCGAAGTCATCCGAAACCGGCACAATAAACAACACGTACCATTCATTCGACACCTAGCTTTTACGGCCAGGCGCGTATCTGGGATTTTTTTTGGGGGGCACACGAAGACTGCGGCCCCGAAAATTCGGGAATCAGTTCCAGAAGGCGACAGAGGTAGTATGAAACAAACATTATTGGGAGGAGCATTGGCCCCCCGTGCCCCTCGTAGGGCGCGAATTCCCAGTGCTCGCGTCCTTCAAATGGAGAAGGCAAGCTAGAATTAACCGATACCACCGGCTTCCGCGCTGGAATTCGAGACTGATGTCTCCTGTTCCTTTTCCCCGCTGACGCAGTCGCTACACATTGCTGACGCACAGTCCCCACCATTGTTATGCTGATTTTGGAAGACTCCTTCGTGTGCGACATATGTCTGCGAAGCTATCAATGCCAGGCGTCCATGCTAAGGCCGGAGAGCGACTACCTGCACGAGACCCGTGGAGCGTACATCGACGCCCGCAAATCACGGGGGCTACAGATTCAAGCCATCCGAGATTCTTCCGCATGTATTATACCTCGGGATCGTCGTGCAAGACTTGACGATGCAATACTTGAGAGAAGATCAGTGTGGCGACCATCCAGACAAAACTGGAAATCGAGATCGATTGACGGTCCCGAAGGGAGAGCTTCCTCGATTCCGGAAAACTCTTCTTCTTATCATCACGAATCCTGGTCTTTGAGAGCTACTTCCGCTCTCCCACCGGCTCTGATGATGGAGGCGAACAAGAATGGTTCTCATGGATCAATGCGAGGAGGGACCTCGAGCAGAGTTTTTCTATGCAGGATTCACAATGACTGCCGAAGAGCAAGGCATACGCACTCGATTTCCATTTATTAACGTAGGGGATGCATAGATCTGTGTCTCGATTCATTCACCCCGTATCCGGAAGAATACGGATCTCAACGCAGGTTCTCCTTTCTGCTTCCCCAGACCCTAAATAGAATTCTGAAGTCGGACGACTAGGATAAGTTCTGGAGAATGTTCGAAAATATTGGTCTATCGGTCGCCGATCCTGGTTTGAAGTCGACGATCAATTGGCGAGCGTCAGGTCGAGAAATGTCCCCACGGAGGTCGAGTAAGGCCATTAGATCATCCGCAGAAACATCCGGGAATCGTTTGACGAGGCTGTGAATTGAAACAATACTTGTGCTCAGAACCGTCGAGAGGGGGGTCGAGATAAGGTCATCCGCTCGCAGAAGTGAACTCACCCGCTCAGCTCCAGAGAGAGAAGGGAGTTATCCTTCATTTTCAAGACTTCGGCCATCAGCTTGAGGACTGTGAGCTCAGACTCCTTGGAGGCAGCTGGGAGAGTCGCTCGCTTCTTATACAGCTCCTTGAATTGCTTTTCGAGCTGGAAGACAAAACTTCGTCATGATTTGTCGAGAATTGGGAACTGTATGAAATCGCGTTGCTCTGTGATATTGATCGACCTTGTTTGTGTCTTCTACGATCAGTTCCGCTGCCGTCTTCCTTTCTTCGTAGTTTTTGAAGGATATGCGCTTCTCACAAATAGCTCGAACATAGCTGGAGGCGACCTGTTTCTCGATGTTCATTATGAGATCCTGATACGCTATCAGAGCAGTGTAGTCGTTCCCGTAGTCAGCTAAGGTGACTATCACAGTGTCTGAAAGAATAAGATATTCCATGAGAGGGGCCAAGTGAAAACCCGCTGCGTCAAGTCGATCGCCTGCCGAGTGACCCTGATCATTTGCATGGCCTGGGCTTCAAAATCGTGGGGTGGTCATTATTGGCTCGATCATACCCGGGAGCCCCATCGTACCGATTGTTTGGTCCTCTTTGGTGAGCCATTTCCTCGTCATGATATTCGGTGTGAGGGCTTTGATATCCATCAGCACCTCTTCACAGAGGTAGCTCAGGGCATTCTCCTTCAAGGTCTTGAGTTTCTCCTCAAGATTCGGAGCGAGGTTCTTGCCTTCGTTCAGTTTGGTGAGCAAGACCTTCATGTTAACCGCATTGTTCGCGACAGCGATCATGTATGCAGTATAGCAATGGAAGCGCGACCTGTCCTCAAAGTTCTGTATTTTGTACTCTGTGACTAGCTGGATGTAGGATGTGAGGAAATTGTTCATATGCTCCATGGCGAGATTCAGTACGAGTGAAATCAGTGTTGGCGAGACAGTTCGCGCCACATCTATGTGCTGTGTTATCATCTGATAAATCAGCATTGGGGCTTCCGTTCGGTGATATCCTGGAAAGTGATAGATTGGCGGAATTAGCTCTTTGCGTTCCTCCCTATCTAATCACTAAATTGCGTGCGATATCACTGAATCACTCACCGTCAGAATCGGTTTCCGGCATCTCTTGCTTCTGCCAGTCCTTGTGATCTGTGGTCAGAGCATTCCGGAGCCATTCTTCGAACTTGACTTGCAATCCAGCCAAGTACTTCTGCATAAGTTTCTTAATTGTCGAATCCGGCAGCAACGCTTCGTATCGCGAAATATCCACATTTAATTCGGGATGTTGCATGAGTTCGCGTGAGTTGTACGTGTTGAGCCAGCCGAGTATGTGGATATATTCGCTATCGACGAGACCCTGCGACAACGAATCTCAATCCTCACATGGAGTACCCACGCCGCTCCGTCTGTAGTCAGAGTTGACTCAAATACGTGTATCATATGAAAGTGCCGGCATCTTACTTGAGAGATGATTGTTTGTAATCGCTGAGACAAGCAGTTGTGGATCATGCGGACCCATTCATTGAATATGTCGAAAGACGGTGGGAAACAGGGCGTACAATGATGCTTAACGGTTTTCAAATCATCGATTATCAACTGCCGGGTCACTTCGAGATGACGCACCTGCAACGATTTCTCCGTGATTATTAGGGCTGGGCGGTCATCACACTCGCGACAGAATCCGCGGAATTTTGCGACGTTTCGAGATGCTCTGCCCTCTAGAGCGGGGAGATAGGAAAATTTCGCAGATCCCCGGAAATGATGCCACGATGAATATCCGGCCCCATTTATGTGTTTTCTTCGATTTCCCCGATAGTCCGGGGCAATACTCAGAGAAAGAGATGTGCAGAACGAATGGGCGGCTCGAAGCTCTTGCGACGCAATCGCTGAGAAGAGGGAGATGGACGGAGCGCTATTTTTTCGCGGTGCAAGAATCGCTTAGGAGCAAGAGAAACATGTCTGACCAGCCACATCTTGTTTTCCTGTCTTCCTTCGATCTGGTTCGCCTCCAGACGTTCCGCTACACTCTGCTCCAAGGTCTCTATCGCCTTCTTCTTCCATAGCTTTGGCCGAGAAGGAGGTAGGAAACCGGTGGTTTCTTGTCTCCTGAGTGCAGCTTCGTCAGCCCATTCCTCTCTTGTGATGAGGCGTAGGGCGGTCACAATCACCTGCAACGCCCCAATCAGAGGGTATTGAATTCCTTGTGATGCCAGAAATCACGCATGGCAACAATAAATGAATGTCTCTGAGGATCTAGTCGCTCAGCTGGAAAAAGCCCGGATACGAACCTGTGGTTCCTTACGGACTGTGTTCAGAGTCCGCTTCAAAATGACCCAGAGCTGCTTCCCAAGTTCATCGCTGAGTCTTTCGACATCGGCGAAGTATTGTTTGAGCATCGCCTTGTCGCTCGGTAGGTTGTTAGCTTGCTTATGAAGCTCATACAAGAGGTCATCCCGCGATCCTTCAAGGTCTGAGAGCGCTTTGTGGGCGAGCAAAAACTTCCCTTCCTGGATCAGGTCCTGTGTTCTCGCCACACTGCCCGGTACATTGAAGATATGTTTCAGGTGCTCCATCAGGGTTCCTGTTTGTGAGTGCTTGATGCTCTCCTCCCTCACGTCCTGTATAGTGTCTCGAGAATAATTATCTAATTCCATTGGAGTCCCCATAGACGCCCGGGATGAATTTCGGGAAAGATACAAGCGCCTCTTATTAAGGCGAGCTAACCTGCAGCTGCAGCGACAGTTTGGCTAAATCTGCATAGATCTGTTCAACCTCGTCGATTTTTTTCTGACAGTCCGCAATGTCGTCTCGAGCCGACACTAGAAGTGACAAGCCAGTTTCGACGCCATCAAGCTGTGATTGGACCGCCGTTTTCAGCATTGCTTCCACGGAGGCTTTTTTCCTCTGGACACGTTTCCTGTGCTGGTCGACCTGAGGAGTGAGAGGAATGTCACAGATTAATTCTATCCACAGGAGGGTTGCTTACCGCCGCTCGAGTCCAAAACCTCGGCTCGGCATCGGCGTCAAGCGTAGGAGTGAAGTCGAGTCTTCGGGCATGGACAAGGAGCCGATCATGAATATACCTTCCCCGGAGATAAGAGTCATTCAAGAAACGGAGTAGCCTGCTCAGAGCCCCATCGGGCAGATCTCTCCTTCAGCTTTGTCAAGACCAGAGATCTGCAACCTTTACCGTCCCTTGACTCCCTCAGACAGATCACATTGCCCCGCGACCCGCCCTGAGAGGCGCTGTCATCCCTGTGAGAGGCATTGGCGAGTTTATGCGGAACAGTAGTAACACTGTTATTGCGCTATTTACTTCGGGAGGACCGGATGACAACTCGAGTAGCTAACGTCACCAGATCCAAAATTTTCTATACGAGTTCTCAAATCAAATCGGGGGGTCGACTTGATTGTTGGGGGTTTTCACCCAGCATCGAGCTGTCATGTACCGCTCGTCTTCACCCTTTTCCCATTCGGAGCTTCGGCGCGCTAGAAGGCGAGACTTTGTAGCGTCGAGTTCTGCGCGGAATAGCCGGAGACCCCGAAGCAAGGCTTGCAGAAAATTGTGGGACCCCAGTGATCCCCGGTTGCGAATGACTGCCTCTTGACTAAGAAGTCCTCTATCGATGCCGAGTGACGTTTCAAAGAGCAGATTCTCCTTCTCCGATCCTTCGTTCATCGCGTCGCCCGATGATTGTCAAGGGAATGAAGTGTGTTTTGGTTTGGCCCACAACGAGGGAGCATAATGATTCAAGCCCTTGTGACAACGATCATCCGGTTGCGTGGCTGAGGAGCTCGCGATGAACAATTCGCGAATCACGACGCATCCCGACCGCCCTACCTTATCGAGCTGATCCGGAATTTGCAACATGGTTATGACATGTTTCAGCCCAGTAGACTTTGCAACTTCTTGTTGCTCGAGGATATCGGTCATCGTCACTCTTTCTCCGCCTGGAAGTGGAATGGATCAGTTTCCGACTCTTCGACCTCAAGCGTTTCCTTTTCGGAATCATGAGGAGAAGTATCCTGCAGGACGCCCTCAGAGGGAGCGGTGAGACTCTCTTGTCTCCCAAATGCAGCGACAAATAAAGGTGTGCTCACCGCTATGGAGGCGGGAAGGAACGGATCTCGGGAACTGTCAATTTGAGCACCGCTCAGCAGCACGGCAGGTGTCACTCTCGTGTTTGTCAACGTTGCAGACGGCTCGAGCTTCGCCTCGCCTCGTACGTTTCCGTTCCGAGCTCCTGCTTCCACTGACCACAGACAAGAGACGCTGGAGTCCGGAGGAGATGAGCCGCGGACATTCGGAATATTGCCGGACTCTTCCGGATACCGGCTGTCAAGGGAGGAAGATAATGTGGACCCAGGCAGGATTTCGAATTTCCGCGCGCAAAATCTACAGCTCTACATCATCTGCAGGAGAAGAGAACAACTAATGAGGAGATGCCGAGAATCGTCACTTTCACTTCATTCGTAGTGGCACCATCAATCGATTCCGTGCATAGAGCTACTGTGCCAATAAAAACGTACACTGGGCATAGTACTAGAAAGGCAAGCCGCGCTACGATCATCGTCCAAGAGTCGAAAAGTCGATCGCAAACCCATCGGATAGATCACCTTCTACGCCTTCATTCAACATGAGCTCAGGGATTCTTCCGCATTGAAGGGAACACGCCATATGTACACCGTATCGAAACAAAAGAACGCCAATCGGCGCTTAGGAAATCGGCAGTTTCCTAGAGAGAGAACGGAAGAGGCTTTCATGTATCTCCGCTGTTGACAGAGCCGCGTTTCTAATCCCCTCGCCCGCTCCCCATGAAGAAGCTCTCTGACTGAGATGGATCTTGCTTCACTCTTCGTGACAGGCTCTCTGCCCGGTGAAGCGGGTGGTGTGAACAGTCATGACAAACGCTCTGGAAAATAGAACATCGACGGACCATAACGCAGGGAGGGGGGTACGCTCTTGGTTGTAAGAGTAAGGTGGCAAACGAAATCGTCACCAGCGAACAGGGCTGCTCTTCTCAAAGGTCTACAGAAGCCCAGACTAAGATAAGGTATTTCGACTGATAAAAATCCATGCCGGACGACAGATGGCCATCCTGAACATGGAGGATCCAATTGGGATAGAACAAAAGCGTAACGGAGGGAGATGGAGCTATGTCGGGAATTCATTCGCGACGATATTACATTGACTTTCCCACTAGAAGAGCTACACCCTCTAGGAGAACACAGCAGAGCGATCGAGGAAAGTTTTCTAGAATAAATTAGCACTGAGAGGTCATCAATGCGCTCAAGGCATCTAGAACCAGGGTGCAAAGCTGTTCGAGGAAATACGAAATTCACTTATCCTTGGGGCGATGGACCTCCAAGGACGATAGAGGCTCAGATCGAAACCCATGTTGCATTCCAGCACAGGATCGAAAACCAGGATTACCCACCAGGTGAGCATTTGACGACTAGATCGAAAATTCACGAAATAGTTGGACGGAGGAAGTTTACCTATCATTCGAATCCCGCACGGGTTACGAGATTCTGAGGATGACCCTTTTAGGAGAACGCCTACCACTTGGAGACATCGTGAAAGTCATCATGATGTATGATCCGTGCAGAGCTTCGGAGCGGCGTAGGTTGGGAGGTGAGTTCCGAGCTCCGAGCTAGAAGAGTTGTCGTATTCGCACGATCGCTCCATCTGTGTCGCGCTATTTCAGATAACTTCTTCAAGGTTCACTGCTCTTAGACCTCACACGTTCTCACAAAATTGAAAATTGCTTCAGAGGTTAATCTGGAGAGCCGGCTTTTGCGATGTCAAAACTTAGGAAAGATTAGATTCGAGACATCGTCAAGGAATGCTTAGCTCTCAATCATTGAAGTTCTCCCGCTAGCCGGATTCCGAAGCGTCCTAGCGGGAGCGAACCACACAATCTGCATCCCTGAAGTCATCGCTTCTTTCGCAGGAAAACCGCCAGATATACATTAGGCAAGGTTTGCCGGTGATAGTCGGGAGAGCAGATATACACACGAGTCATGAGAAGCATGTCAAGCTCCTCCTACACCTATCTTGCATTCTCTCTTTTTACCAATCGAGCGATTTTCTTCCAGACATGGCGACAGTATCACACAAAAATATTGTACCAAGACGAAAATCGCTGGGGGTGTCGTGAAGAAAGCTTCCGATTTGCTCTTAACTTCCTTTCCGGCATCGGCAGATCGGAAGCGCTGCCTCGTTTGTCCATGCGTTCATCGACGTCATCAAAAATGATCATCTAGCCCTCAGGATGTCGGTGGAAATTTAGCCTGCATACACTATTCCCCATTGGCTCTGCATTACCCCGGACCGTAAGTTTCGAAACAAAAGTCGTCTCTCAAGTTTCTCATGGAATCGACGTAGAAAATGTCATCCGAGCTCGAGAATTCTGTCCTGAGCTATCGCATAATTGATCAAGAATGATGATTGTTCTGTATAACCACTTGTGGTCCCTACTGGGAAACAAGACGACGAGAAAAACAGTCTCCTGAGGGGTTGTCTCTGTCTGGAGATCAACGTGGGAATTCCAGTACGTGGAATCCGACGCCAAGGAATCCGAGACACGGATTTGTAATGAGCCAAGTGCTGTGATCTAGTGGAAAGCGTGAGCCGCCCCATCTTGATCTCTCTCGGCTTGCATGACGTGGTTTTGTTTCCGTGTTCATGCCTCCTTCAGTTTCTCTCTTCCTATATGCAACAGAGATGATGGCAAACTTCAAACCAGATAATAATGACGAGGTTTTCCGAAGCGATGTTTATGAACGAATTCAGGACAATCGATCTGCCGCGGGATTTGTGAGAATATCTTCGTTACCCTTTTTGTAGTGTCTCTTGTAAACTGTCTTCGTCCACTTTTTCTTCCGGATCGTCTTGCGTCGAGGCTCGATCAGATTGCGTTTCTCGAGTGACCTGTGAATTGGGAATATTCAAACGTGATCGATCTGGGGACGGCCCACAAGGAGGAACCTAGGACCGTCGAGATCCAATTGATTAAGGGATACGTGGAAATCCTTACCGCATTCTGTCGACCATCAGGGATCCCTCGGGCTTGAGTTGTCTCAAAGTCGGCACCAATTCCTCCGTCAACTTAATTTCAATCTAGAATCGTGAAGACGAGAATCGCTTTTAAGTACGAGAATCGTATCGAGGAGATTTCTCGGGTTCGGAGATCGGAGAAACCGCCGCGCTACTCACGTCCGGGGCGGAGAACTTCTGACGTCCCAGCTTCTTGGGTTGACTTTGAGCTTCGATTTGTTTCTGCTTCTTACGGAGAACTTTCAGCTGCGTAGCTTGGTTGGACTTCTTGATCTCCTTCTTGTACACTCCTATGCGACCGAATTGTGAATCGATTTTTTTCTCGGATTTCCTTTGCGCTGTCAGTGCTTCACGCTCTCTGTGCGCTTTCTGTCTGTTCCGCTGCAACCGTGTTTTACGGTTTTCCGCGCGCACCGGCGGATTGCCTGGGGAACAAATCTCGGGAATGAGCTTGCATCGTGGCTAGATTCTTGAAGAGTTCATCTGAAGCCTGCCTCAGTATATTTTTGACGAGAAGATAGGCACCTGTTATCAAAGCATCGGCCAGATCCCCAGAGGGATCCTCCGTGTCATCGTCCGAGTAGAGAATTCCGGCTGCTTCGTCAACTTCGTTCTGGACACGAATTGCTTTGGCTCTCTCTTTGGTCGGGAAAAGACTCAACAAGACGCGCTCAAGATGTTCTTCTTTCTTCAATTTTCCCACTTCCACTTCATTCGCTTTCGACAGCAGAGCTTGGTGGTCCTGGAAGAGTACATGAGAATGGCGATGAGCGAGCTCACAGGCTTCCACGACTGTGACGTTCGCTCCTCCGAGGCCAGAGTATCGAGTGCCGTTCAATTCAGAATTCAGTAAATTCCACAGCTGCATACCTCAAAAGTTGGCTTGTAACTGGCACCGGGTTCCGCTACCTCCACAGCCGGTAGCACTGAAGGTTTTCGGTACCTCAAAGAAGGTACCTTCGGTCTTGAAGCGCGCGTAACTCTCGCGAAGTAAGCGAGCTGATCATCGGCCAAAAAATCCGCATCTGCCGGCTCCTGCAGGACGTCCACGCGATGCCTCGCCGCAGTTCCCTCGAGCTCTCTAGTGGATCCCGGAGCGTGCCAGATATCGTAGATTTGAGTCTCGGAATTCAGGGTTCGACAATTATTCCTCGAAGCTCGCTCATCTCTGACAGATTTCCGTTCATTGAGCGTCTTTTCAGACTGCTCCACTCGTTTCTGAATTGTTTTCCGCTCACGCTCGAGATGTACGCGGCTCTTCTTGGCGTCCTCGGGTTTCCCTCTGCATGTTCTCAATGGTACCGGGACTTTCGATCGCTGCCGGAGAACTTCAGTACACTTCAGAGGCTCTTTCAAAATGTCAGATCTCTTCTTCTGGAATTTCCTCTCCGCGATCGCGTCCGCACTCTTGTCCAGCATATAAATCTCGACGTCGCTCCGCAATGAGACATCCCCACCGACCCGCTCATCGAACCTTTTCTCTTCCAAGAAAGCTTCGACATCCTCTATGTCAGCTTTCTTCCAGTACTTTTTACGATTTTTTGATTCTCGTATTTTCTTCTTTCTTGGCTCAGCTGGTTCCTTTGCAGTCGCGACGGAATCAGATCTCAGCTCCATGATAGATGCCCTGTAAAGATGACCACATCCCTTTGGTTCCTCTCTCACGACAAGCTCCTATCGAACATCCAAGATCGATCCAGCGTTCTATCGTACACCAGTTGGCCGTAGACGGCCGGCAGGAACCGGCTGCGTGCGCCACTTCTCATGCATGCGGAAGGAGTGCTCGGATGCATGAGGATATGAATCGCACAGAACGCACAGCCTTAGTAAGGACTCGTGAACGAGGAGAAAATGCCAATGTTATCATCCATCCGCCGTATGAATATGTAGGACTGTGAAACTCGTGGAGTCGCCCTCGATCGATGGAGCTCCCTAGCCATGCTCGGGCAATCCATTCACCCAGCGAAGGATGAGCTTCTAGGGATGCCAGCCTAGGCCGCACCGTACGCCCTTACTTATATTTTCTCTAAATGCTCTCGCGAGCGCCTGATCGATCTCGTGTGGTATTCTGGAGCCGGCATTCGAATCCGAAAATTTACCCAGGGTTGTGTCCGATTATTAGAGTTGCGACCTGGCAGCGGACATTCTCTCGATGGAGGTAATGGATACTGCCCGGACGTGATGACATCGAGCAGAAAAGCTCAGATCCTCGGACACCCCTTGCCGCGGTGGTCATGAACCCAACATTTTCCTTGCGGAATCCGAGGAGTGTATTGAACCGACAAGAGAGCACGTGTCCGCTCAGATCACATCCCGATCTTCCAGGTAAACAATGAGCCAATCTACGCCCGAAGCTTGGTGGGAGCTCAGATTTTCTAACGACACTAACCTTGTCCCGATCTCGCTCCCGTGGTCGCTAGCAGCCACGTGCTTGCTTCTCGACGAGCGAGCAACCCTCTCCACTTCGAAAGGAAACAAACAGCTCGTTCATATGGAGGCCTTTTTCTGCGAGAGATGCCCATAGCTATCAGTCATTATTCATCTTCTTCATAATTTCAGATAGATGCGTGGAACGTAGATGCGGAGGATGATAATCCTGCACTCCTGTTTTTGCCCCAAGGCCTTCGCGACCATCATCACTGAAGCTGTTGCATCCCGAGGACTCCTTCGAGAACTCGGCAGGATTGCGACGGTCTCAACACATAGGCCTGCCCCCTTCCCATGCTGGAATCAGGGTCTCTGCTCGGGCTCCCAAATCTGGCCGCATCGTCATTGGTCGCGCGGAACCCGGCACATGGGCTACTCTAATGAGTTCTACTCTAATCCTGCCGAGGGCACTCCCGGGCGATTCTGCCCACAATCTCACTCATGTCTTTTTATTCTTGCTGCACAGCGCTCTCCTGAGGCTCTGTCCAACTTCGTTCGGTCTCTCTTGTGGAACCCAACAATGCCTCCATGCATCGTTGCCCCAGATGACCTCAACGATAAGCTGAGAGCTGCTAGCGATCTCGTCTCCACATATATGAAATCCTACACGAACTCAGATGATTGAGGCTCGTGATCGCGTCGTCTGCCGTGTCTCTGAGAGATCTGCCTCGACCGTGTTTATTCGGTGACCCGACGATAACCCGATACGGGATTCTCCGATTTTTTGGGCCTGCTAGATCAGCGAGGGTCTGGAGCCGCACCGCGCAAGGCGAGAAGTCTTTCCTCTGGGGAAGCCACAGTCCTTCAGTCGTCATTCGTTTAACAGTCGAGAATCAGCTGTCGGACATGCGGAACCTATGGCGTCATATAATGATATAATCAATTTAAAGATGCGAATAGTCCAATGGGAGATCGACCTGTAGAGATTCACTCCCACTCGCCTGGTGATCTGGGAGGGTTCTTCTGCTTGTCCCTACTGTAGGGATTGCTGAAGGGACAAGCAGAAGAAGGGAGGTCGGAATCCTTGACTCCCTATCGACATACTATACAGGAATAGACTGAAGCATGAATTTCGCGGGATACCTAATGAGCAGCCAAGCAGGCCACGGACATTCGACATTCGGATCTTATGATGATCAGAATCTTATAATGGTGAAACCAGATGCATTCGGCGAGAGACCCGAACCTTTTCCTTCTTTCGGAATCCCATATCTCTCCATCATATCGGCGATATCTCTCCACTTCTGTTCCTCCGAAATTCCCACCGCGGAGCCTCCGACTACTATCATCGCACCGCGCAAATCAGGGGGCAAAGAACACAAACTCATTGAGTAGCAGTGAAACGGGGAAACATTTCGAGCGGAAGCTCGCAAATGCTCTACTGAGAATCACTGCCTCATGTCCCAATGGAAGGAACGAGGAATCTGTCCAGCGCTGAGGCGCGCCCACCAACGTGCTCCTAGCGTTGATTAGCCACCGTCGGCGGGAACTCGAGCGATGAGCTCCAGAAATCATGACCGCAGATGTACTCGGTGAGGGGAAACTTTGATCCTGTCATGATTAATAATTCAGCATTCCGACTCGCCGCCCAGTCATTCAAAGATGCATTTGTTTTTGATGCTGCACAGGACAAAAATTACGGGGCGCTCCTCAACGGAGTGCACTACGAAAAAAGTAGTCCCAGTTCGTCGGATCTATCAGTCGTCCCTCTTGAAGCTCTCTCGCGGCGCCCGAGCAAATATGGAACATGCCCAAGCCCGGAGAATGGAGGAGCTCTATTATCACTATCTTCAAGCCCTGATGTTTCTGACAGGACCGGTTCGATCTCCGTGAACAGACGCAAAAAAGATCGATTCCTGAGCGTCCACGCTCTCATAACGAGCCGGGGACTACGCCTCTGTCTCGGAATTTCTGTGAGCAAGACGGGGTAGTTCTCCTAAGTGGTGGATCAGGGGGACGCAAATCTATCAATTTACGCACGCGGAATACCAATGACAGAATAAGCCGCATAATTCCTCCCAGACACCATTAGCTCCATCACATGCAATGGCCCACCAAGTTATAAGGCTTGGAGAATGGATGAATAACCTGACGCAGAGGACTCATCTAACTCCGATCAAACCCAGACGTTTTCATGCTTAGAACTTGCGCTCGCCACACTGCCGTCAGGATGCGCTGCAAGGTTTATTGGTCGTCGACGACGTCGTCGATCACGATCGGGTCGCAGGTCGCAGGCAGAGATCATTGACATCATTGTCTCCGACCAGATAATATGTGTACCTGTTGGAATACGCTGCTTCCAAAGCGGACTCTGATCGCCGGTCTCTTAGAGCGGAACTTTGTCATGCGCTATTCTTCGGTGGAATGTTGGATTGAAGTGAAGGACCGTGAGTTCCGATCCGGAAATCCAGCGGCTCTCCTCTCGAGGTAAATCCGTCGCCGCCAAACAGCCTCCCTAAGACGGAAAGAGGAGGAGGAGAAGCTGGCGGCTACGGCTACCGCTGACCGCGTCACCGCTGCTCTGGATCCAGTGATCTTCGTAGCCTTCTGCTACTCTATCAGAGCATTAAGAAGTCGGTGGTTGTCGCGGGTGTCGCGAGCGTAATTCGTTTGTCGACCTGATAGTCGCCGCTGTCGATGCTCTCGAGAGAAGGGAGCTCCGGCATCGCCTGTGTTCACCATCGCTGTGCATCCTGAACACTGAGAAAAGGGACACGCTGCAAGATAACTCCCCGCGGAATCGGAGTCGAGAATCCAGAGAAGGAGCGAGCATTCTTTTATTTCGTGGATCATGCCGGCGAGCATGAAGAATGAAGGTGGGACCGACGAGATACGTCTCAAATGTGCTTATAATGGGTGAGTGATTCATCGGTGGATGATCTTGGATTCCCTCGACTCGTCCCCCGGGAGCCCTCAGACCTCCGAGGGCTGATCGACCTATCGGGTGGTGTGAGCGCGTGGGAGATCATCCTCCGGGCTAATAATTCATCGCGAGTCTCAAAATGGCTCGCGATTCCCTGTGGTTTGAAGTGAAGTTCTCTAAATATCGGGGGGCCGTTCTCTCTCGGGAGCCCGCTCATCACGACTACTGATGAATAGGAGAGCCTCCACCTTCGCTAAATAGGGATGGCAAGCCGAGTCGAATTGCCATGGGAAGCAGAGAGAAACCTTGCGCCGTATCGCAGTGTGCGAAGTGCCGTAACGACAGAGAGTGTTATGGTTACGCTGCGGCACGGGGAGAAGAATCAGTCCGAGCGAGCGAGGAACCACAGAAACCAAAACGAATTCCTGCCGAATCCTGCGGTTAATGTTTCCAGGGATGTTTTCGTCAAATACATCGGACCGGGTATCAGCTTGGAACGCTTTCAAAGTGACATGCGGGAGGTGTGCAGTTTCTCGGAGACGCAGCAGTTCACTGTCAAATGGGTCGACGAAGAAGGTTCGTGCAGTCATCACTGGAATCGTTCGTAGAAGTCGCATCGGATTTGTGACCGATGTTCTTAATCATTCGTCGCAGGTGATCCCTGTACAATCGAACATCAGGAAGAACTCGACGAGGCGATCCGTTTGTACGAAGTCAACAAAGATTCCGAAATCAATATCCACGGTTAGTGTGCGACCGAATTGAGTGAGTCGTTTCCACGGGGGAAAGACCGTGACCGCGACGTTTCCGATGAGAATCGGATGTGAATTCGGCCTCGGACCTGCATCTGAGATGTTTTGTGAATCTCCTGCCTTCAGCTAAAGGGAAGTCTGTATCCTCTTCCAGTGTTCCCATCGGTGCCGACGTACCCGGGACTGCCATGCCCCGGCGAAGATAAATCGATATACCGGAGAGGCGCACGGAGATGGAGGAAACAATACCTAGTGAATGGGCACATTTTCCAGGCTAAACGTTTCAATCGGAAAGCATTCTGTACTTATTGCATGGATAGAATTTGGGGCTTGGGACGCCAAGTAAGCTACGCGCTAATCGACGACTCGATGATGGCGAAATTATACTGTCATCTCACAGCGACCCACAGATGATATTCACGAGCGAATCTAACGCAAATTTTGCCGCAGGGTTTCAAGTGCACGAATTGTAAACTGATGGTTCACAAGAAATGTCACAAGGCTATCCGTCTCCAATGTGATCGGAAAAACGATGTGGGAGGGTACGACAATCAGGTTCTGAACGGCAATACCATCCCCGACGAAGGATTAGATCTCCGACTGGCTCGGACCGGGACCGGCTCGAGGGGTCAGAGGAGACATCTCGTTCATGATAGCGGAGATGCCCAAGAGATCGATGACCCAATCAACGTAAGATCATGCTCGCGCGTCGAACGCTACCACCCGATCGTGACAGAAATTTTACCACCTCAAAAGCATGTGAACGATTTCCCGATTGTGGATGCTCTATCTCACAGGATGTTCGTCCCGACGCGCAGGGCGGAGTGCGGGGTCAATACTCGCTGAATGACTTCGAACTCATACGTGTTATTGGTCGCGGCTCCTACGCCAAGGTTCTGATGGTCGAATTGAAAGCGACTCAGAGGATCTACGCAATGAAAATCATCAAGAAATCGCTGGTTAACGACGATGAGGACATAGACTGGATACAAACTGAGAAGCATGTTTTCGAAACGGCTTCGAATTATCCCTTCCTCGTGGGACTGCACTCCTGTTTCCAAAATGAATCTCGCTTGTTCTTCGTCATCGAGTTCGTCAGGGGCGGAGACCTCATGTTCCACATGCAGCGCATGCGAAAACTCAACGAGGATCATGCCAGATTCTATGCGGCCGAAATTTCATTGGCTCTACATTTCCTACACGAAAGAGGGATAATATACAGGTAAGCACCACGGATTACTCATTCTGGGTCTTTGTGCAGCGTCGATTCTTGTCGGACTCGCGGAAAACAGAAGTATGAAGGTCCCTACGTCTGCGCTCAGCTTTGCAACCTATGTAGCTTCCCCGCTAAGGCACATCGATTTTCTTTCTCCAGAGATCTGAAGTTAGACAACGTGCTTTTGGATCACGAGGGCCACATCAAGCTAACTGATTACGGGATGTGTAAAGAAGGCATCAAGCGAGAGAATGACTTCGCATCTACTTTCTGTGGAACCCCGAACTACATAGCCCCGGAAATCCTCCGTGGGGTGGATTATCGCTTCAGCGTCGATTGGTGGGCGCTTGGAGTACTTCTGTATGAAATGCTTGCGGGGCATTCGCCCTTTGATATCATAGGTGAGATCCCAATTTCGGCGACGCCCAAAAAAATCAGCTGTGACTTGACATCGTTCGACGACGCGAAAATGGAGCGCTTCTCTGTATCCCGGCATGACCGTCTGTGATCGTTCCAGGTCAATCGGACAATCCGGATGAGAATTGCGAAGATTATTTATTCCAAGCCATCCTCGAAAAAACCATCCGAATCCCACGGTCAATCTCCGTCAAAGCGCAGAGTGTATTGAAAGGTTTCCTCAACAAAAACCCAGCAGAGAGGTATTGTCGCAGTTTCCTGACATTTGTTGCCTGAGGTCTCTACGTTGGATTCGGGAAACCCATCGTTCGGCTTTCATACTTTTCTCGTTCATCTTAGGCTCGGCTGTCACAGCGTCACAGGTTTCACGGATATCCGTATGCATCCGTTTTTCAAAGCTATCAATTGGGAGCTCCTCGAACAGAAGCAACTGACACCCCCTTACAAGCCGAAACTCGATACGGATTTCGATTTTGAACACTTTGACCCGCAATTCACGTCGGAGCCGGTTTGCTTCACCCCCGATGATCCGTAAGCTCGCCCGGAGCGGAGTAAACCGCGAGGGAACTCAGTTTGATCGATTTTATTCTATTTATTTAAATTTCCCGATACGAACCCCTATTCTTGATATTCCAGAAAAATTATCGGCAAAATCGACCAATCGGAGTTCGAAGGCTTCGAATACGTTAATCCCCTCCTGATGTCTATGGAAGATTGCGTCTAACCTCTCCGAGAAAATAGACCTTGTTCAGTTCCTCTTCTGGGAAACGGTCGTCTACAGCTTTCGTGTGGAATCGGACTCCGGATTTTTGTCCTCTTCGAAGTAGTTTCGCACGTGCTATTGCGTCGATTGTGAGCATTGTTCTGACTTGATAATCAGGAGTCCGAGCGTTGTCGCTCGGTAATTCGGCGACCAGACGCGCTCGCCGACCAGAGGGTGTCGATTTCTGACGGGGAAGTCTTCTGAAATCGACCTGATCTACGTCGCAAGGCGGCATCTGACGGCTGTACCCGAATACCCTCTCTGTGTATGACGTGAAACCGCTGAACGAAGTGTAAGTTTTGTACATACCAGGATGCGATGCCCAGCGGCTAGAGAAGGGCTCGCCTGACGGTCGGCGTCCCCATCCTCAATCTGAATAACGATTTTGAAAGGGCTTGAAATGTTCTGAGCTGATTGATTAGTCGAAGGAATCTGTTATCGAGCTCGTTTAGAGCAACAGTATCGATGGAATAAAGCTCTGCTCCTATATTCTCATTGAGTTTTCCTAGAATCGCCGCTGCCTGGCTGGACCCGGCCGTGGAGCGGTACTCATTCTATTATACCATCGGTCGGCGTAAGAATACTTAAGAAGACCGAATTGGTGAGTCCTCGAGACTTGACCCAGTTTTGAGTCCCAGGCCAGGAATCTTAATATCGATTATCTCTGACAATATTACTTGTGCAGTTGAATCCGGAAAAAAATCACGGCCTCTGATATCGGGGGAGCTCGGCGTCGATGAGATAATCTTCATGCTTTGCGACTCTTGTCGAATGTCCTAGTCAAGTGTCCTGATTCTGCCATAGCCGACAAGGCCTGTGGATTCGAGGTCGCATCCACTTGGAGAGCAACGAAGGGGAATGCAAGGGCGTCCCCGGAAAGCTCGAGACTGTGTCCGGTCTCGGAGGGAACCTATTCGCAGGCGTCCGATCACACGAGGATGCTGGCTGCCGCAAAGGGAGCTGAATGCTGTCTCAGGATTCGACATCTCTGCAAATCTATCACACACGCTCATCGCCGGTGAGATCTCAGGTGTAACTCGATGAAAGAGATTTGGAAATGCAGCCCGATTGCTGTCGCAAGGAGAGGAAGCCACGCTCTGGAAGCGTTAGTCTGCGAATATCATAGGTTATCCACATGATGTATTATTATACAAGTTTTTGTCCGCTGCTCGGTTCTAAGTTCTATTTTGGTGGAGAACTCCGCATTGGAGTCCGAGCGAAATTCCACCTATGGAACGAGGGATCATTGTCGTGTCTAAAAACGATTTATTTTGGCAAATATACGACATGAGGATCGATACGAACCGAATACGATATGCCATAGGTCTCCCCGGAGAGGTGCCGATCCCCCAGCCGGCCCACATGGTATAGAGTCGTCCCAGCGGTTCACCGAAATCGAGTCGATAGCCAGGTATTGAAGCTCCGATTTCCGCGTCACTGCGACAGATCATTCGGACTCCGAGGACATTTTTTGGGGGTGGGGACCTCGAGCGAGGCTTCATTGGAAGTTTCACGAAGCCATATCCATCCAAGGATTATTTATCAGAGTAGAAGAAATGTAAGATACTGAATGTACAGTTTCCTCAGCGTATAAACAAAACTACAGAGATCGAAGTCGGACTCTCAAGCATGCTCTGCGAAGGTCCCCGATTGGTGACTCGAAACCCAACATCCCTTCTTCCCCCTCATCGTTCTACCTAGCGGTGATTCGGTTCTCTACCCAGAGCATACTCTGAGAGTGCACTCCATCCATGATCACAATGATGACATATCATGGTCATCGTGCCTGAAGGGGTGCTCTCATTCCGTTTTGGAGAACTCATAGGGAGTGTACATGTAGATCTAGTGTTGCTGGATATCTGTCAGACCTACCTACTCGAGCTGAAGCACGTACTACAATGGTAATGTTCCGCAGCGATGTTTTTCACTCAAAGCTTGGGAAAAAGCGGACACCAACGCCCGATTCTAGGAGGAGGAAGACGTTTGTCTACATACAACAGCTCAATAGCATCTCCGCGGAGAGTCTTTGTATTTACTCTTCAACTCGTTCTTGAACTGTCTGAAATTCTGACGATTTCTCTCCAAATCTCTATTCTTCTCAGCATGAAATGAGCTTGGCAACTTGAGACCACGGTGTATGAGGAAAGCATTATTCAAAACAGCGAATGTATAGCCAGCCACGTGAAGTTCACATGCCTGACTGATTCGATTGAATCCATACTGTCGGAAACGCTCATCATAGAGCGGTGCAGAATTATGCGCGAAATAGAAAGGCTCCCAGGGGTCTTTCCACGTGACGTGATACAGGACTTCGAGACGGTTCCCGTCAACAGGCGCTTTAAGCCATGTTTCGTAGTCAGTGTGCTTGTGGCACTTGTGACACAACTCGGTGTAAAATGGACGAGCCTGATTATTGCTAAGGAGATCTACCAGCTCATATTTATCCTTTGGCATTTGAATGGTTTCGAGCGCCTCGAAAGCTGGCACTACAAAAACTTCGTTAGGACCTTCGGCGTACTGTTGTGTAAATAAAGAGTTCACTCTGGCGAAATGTACAAACGCGTCGCGGAGACCTGCAATAGGAATATTCAAATTAATTCGAGACCTGACTCCAATACCGAACTCGTCAATTCTCATAAGACTGACTGCGCCAACTGAATTTTCACCTTCCCGGTCGCCAGATCGAGAGCGGCACTCTTGGGGATGCAGCTTCGGCACCTACCCGTCTCACCCTGGTCGTGGACCGCCGGAAGCTCAATTTGTCGAAATTCCGACTAACCTGCATTGACTTTGAGGTCGACGTCAACTACGAAAACGAACTGCGTTCTCGAGTTTTTCCGTCCAACGTTCCGTAAGAGGTTCACGGGGAATTCGTCCCCGTGATCATAATTCGTTTTCCGAGAGAGATCACTGAGCCGCTCGACAAGAGTGGCGCATCCGCCATCCTTCAAGTAAGACGCCCCACTCGGATGGACATGACCCGAGAGAGACTTCGAACGCAGCGGATAAACCAGGTGGAAACTCACATTATGTCTGCGAAAGAAAAGGAATGAGAGCCAGGACCTTCTAAATACATTTTCGATAAGAGGCTTCTACCAGCTATCGTATGCATTGGACAATGGTATGCATCAGAGACGTTCAGCGGCAAAATGGCCAGGCAACCACCGATAACCCTTGAAATGCATCCCTGCCGATTCAGAGAGAGCGCGAGTCTCAACTACGCCTTGGCCTTTTCTGAACCTAGATGGTGCGCTGCGGCTAGCCACGGCTGAGAATTTCGAGGACTGCCGGATATCCTAAACATATCCACCAATAGTTACGCCGCGGAGATCACGGGATGTGATCCCGTCGAGCTCCTCATACTAAACAGCCGGAGATCGGAGACTGAGACAGCGAGTGATAACGTCATACCTCGCTCTCAACGTTCTGCGAGCGATTCCCCCGAGTTGTATCTGGTGTGTTAGTCCATCCGTACCTTACTTGGGAAGAGCAAGTGCGCAATTGGATAATAGCTTCGACGACATCCGGAAGATCAGTAGCGAAAATGGCCACCGACAGAGGGCCACCCCATCCACCGGCGAGTGATTCGATATGTCCGAGATGATTTAAAGTTGTCTGGGTCACAAGGGTGACATCCGCTGTTCCTGGAAGAAGATCACTTTCGGAGTTCGGCAAAGCTTGGGGCGATCCGCCATCGATGACGAGTTCCGGTTGAATCGACGGAACGACCATCGGTGGAGTTGGCTCGGAATCGAAAACCGTTGATGTTTCTGGCAATTCGTCCGGATGCGAGACGAAGAACGGTCACCTCGGCCAGCCCTCTGACCACGATCTTCGTATGGGAGAGGTCGCCTAAGCCCTGGCAGGGTAAGGTCCCATCCTACCTACAGCTCCATGTCGTTGTACTCCCTGCCCAAATTTTGACTACTGATCGACAGGATCCTGCCGGCGAATTCATAATATTACTGCCCGAGCAGATTGATCTAGCGATGTGAGCTCCCGTCTGTGAAGTCAAACATCTGTCTCACCCTTTTGCTCCGAAGGACCCGGGCTCTTTCCTCGGCCTCCCCTCTGTGCTGGATGCATGACGTGACCGGACGATGCGTCCTGGAGTTGATTGACGATGCTATACTCTCCGGATGCATCGAGGAGGTTTGAGTCCTCTATCAAACGTTGCATTCGAGCTCGATCCTCATTGGCTTCCACCAGCCCATAGCTCGCCGTATCCTTGAATGAGAAAATATATCTGAATCGATGACATTCCAGTCGATGCATTCCGATCGTCGAAATGCGCGAGCTTCCCCCACACGCTCCATATAGGGTGGACGAACGTCGGTCCGAGCTGCTACACATGACCGAACGACATCTCTCAGACGAAGGTATACATGTGACGATGGCACCTCAAAATCACCGGCAATGGAAATGGCCAGAGTTTGTCGACAAGGGACTCACTCGGTCAGACCCAAGCGATGCGCACCAGTATCGCTTGGGCAGAAGGTTCAGCCGAGCTCAATCGCCGAGTCGATGATAACACAAAGTAAACAAGCTCCGCAAAGACGAGACGAGGCTGTCAAAAGAACCGTCTGACTATCTCCTGGCCTTGAAGCAGCTGTGCCGGTCATGTAAGTGGGAAATGACTTTTATATGGTACTCTCCGGCGCATCACTTGGAACTCTTCGCCGGAGATGGATGAAAACGTCCTTCACACCATTAGTCCCTCCGAGCGTCAGATTATCTGATTCTAATCGCGCAAATCCCGACTCTGCGCTCGCTCGCTCAGAATTCGACCCCCATTCTGAAGCGTGAGACGAGGCTGACTGAGACGAGGCTGACTGAGCCGAGGCGCATCGAGAACTCTCGGACCCGGAGGACACTTCAGAGTCTCCGGGAGCGTTCTCTTTCCTTATGGATCTTTAGATATTATTGGATGAACCGAGTGCTCCAGAACTTCTGCCCTCGCGTCTGGGATAGTGATAAAAACACAGGTCTCCCAGGTTTGGGGAAAGTCTCGAGGGAATTCACAATTCACGCACTCGACTGGAACTTGGGGAGTGCGATGCTCACCGATATCGAGCCTGCTGAATTCTTGGAATTTTTTTCTCTTCGCCTCGAGTCCTCCTGGCTTCTAGTCGGCTGAGTAGAGTGATATGTACAACCTGTAGCACGGATATCACCAGAACGAGGGCGACGACGAGCGCTCTCCACAACTGCGGAGCCGAGCAAGCGACCCGCGTCTTCGGAAATCGCATTCCAATAGACCATCCACGGAGGTTTTCCGTAGATTATCCGTACAGCGACGCCGAGTTTTTCACAACATCTATCCCCGGAGTTCCGATTGATTCACGACTCGGATCAACCCTGCGCATTGCTTGTTCGCGCACTGAACCGCTCTAACGTAGGGACGGTGTGACTGAGCGCCGGCTGGAGCCATGTCTCACGTCGCCTGCGTCGACGGAAGCACCGAGTCCTGTTTCCAGTCTGACTGGAGGGACATTCGGGAGAGGGTCGTGGGAATCGGCGGACACACTCTGATATCCTCCGTCAGCGGTTGCTGTCTCTGCTGCAGGTGCTGCTCCAGAGCTCTCCCCCTCTCCAGTATGGAGGGTCCTGATGGAGTCTTTGCCGATGCGGCTGCGCGCGCACAAATATAATACTTCTTCGGCGCGCACGAACAGTATGTAATGAGTAGGAAAAATAGATGTGTGTTATAGGGTAATGGGTTTGGGGTAAAAATTATGTGTAGAATGTCCTGATGGACTCGTACCCGATGGGGCTGCGCGCGCACAAGTACTTCTGCAATGCGGTAGCTGTACGTTGCAAGCGATCCTTCGATTCCCGCGATATTGACATCTAGAGCCGAGGCATCCAAGAAATGCAGAGAAGGACATCCCATGCAGGTGAACTCCATGCAGCTGATCGGGTTCATGACGCTATCCAGTGGCATCGAAATCTCAGCTAGCCATTCGGGGAATGGACATTGGGGCGGTATTCGCTGAGTCCCTGGGGATCGGGGTCTGAATATGAAGTTAGATTGACGTTCGAGCTCGGGCGTCCACCATAAATCTTATGATATTCCAGCCGCCAGGTCGAGGCTCCCAACAGACTTCACGATGAAATCGATACATTTATACATTAAGAAAGACCGAGAGTGACCCCAAACCGTATTTGGAGAGAGACCCGCCGGTGAGCAGTAGGCGACAGTCGGGAAGTGATGTCAGAGAAACGCCGTCATGAAGAGAAACGTCACGGGAAAATCGATTGTTGGAGTCCGAGCCAGCATCCTTCAGAGTATTCTCGATACCGAGCTCCTGGAACAAATGATAGTGTCTCCCACGACTCGTACCCGGACGGTCAACACACGGAGAACCGTCGTCGAGATTCAAGCTCCGCATAGTTCATTTGTCGGCGAACACTCCCTAGCCTCTCATTGTTCGGAGTGGGGGGGCTCTCTCCTCCCTGAAGAGCTTCATGCTGCAAGCTAAGGATGGACCGAAGCAGCTCAAAATCAGAAATTTTCAGGCAAGCACCAAGCATATCCGGTGTATCGAGAGATCGGGCCGCAGGCCGCAGGACCCTTGGTCATCCTTCCGGGAGGATGATCGCCATTCGAGACTCGCGACCGCATCAAGCAAGGATCAGCATCATCATCTACCCGTAGGGGTGAGGGCGCATGTTTTCAATCCTTCCATCATATGGAGTGTATGATTCTATGGTCTGCTCAGAGAACTCACGACGACTACCGAGAGGCTCCCGACGACCAACTTGGATTTATGAGGCATCAGATAGTTTGTTGAGACACGCTCCATACGTTATACGGCTGGCGGGAGAAGACGGTTCCGACGGAATCGGACAGTGTCATCCACCATAGTGCAAGGCGACTCCGAAGCCACTACGAGACTCAAAAATGGGCAAAGGCTACAATAACTTCATGTGCAAGAAGGATTTCCATCCCTCCTCCAGAGAGAATCTGAAACGGGTAAGCATCGCCGCGAAATGTTTCTTGTTACTGATGTCTCGTTCGAGACAGACATTTTGTGAGAAGCCTCACGGAAGTCCAATGACCGCCATATCTGCAGGTCTGGATGGCGGAACAAGCTGCTGACGCAGAGAAGAAGAAACAAGAAGAACTCAAATCTCAATACGACAAGGAGCAGAATCTCTACAATAATCGGTATCTTACTCTCAGTGTCCGTCTCTGGAAGATTTCTGCAGAGTTTGCCTTTCGGAATCCGATATCGAATATCTCATCTTCCAGGTCCATGGTGTCGACGGAATCGAAAGACAAGTTGTCGCTCAACTTCATGTACGATGCGCCACCGGGTCTCCGCCGAGAAGAGAAGGAAACTTCGAAAGAGGAACCTCGTTTCGAGTGGCAGCGAAAGTACCAAGCTCCAAGAGAAAGTTGGGCCAAAGGTGCGTGATCGTCCAAATTTCGTGGAAGAGTCGCACGTCATGATAAGAATCCCCGATCGTGAAACTGAAGTACGTCCCGCGGATGCCTGGAGTGAATTCGCAACCCTTTATTTGCGCAGGTAACGAAGAGATAAGGGATCAACCATTCGGCATTCAAGTTAGGAATGTTAAATGTCTCAAGTGCGGAAAATGGGGACACATCAACACCGATAGAGAATGTCGATTATTCGGGGAAGTAAGGGAACGCCATCATCATCTCTGTGCGCTCTGAAAGCGAGACTTCTAGCGTATGTCATTCATGGGCCCCTTGAGACTCCGGATTCGGTGAAGAAAATTGCCATTCTTTCCAGTCACAGGGAGTTCGTGAGAAGAAGGAAGATTCCCGCGATCCTATCGAATTAATGCTGATGATGCAGGAAGAACAGGGTTTGCGTTTGAAGCGCAGCGCTCTATGTGAGTCAATCGGAGCGTGTATGAGAGAGCTCCACAAACACTTGCTTTCGCGAAAGAGTTCTGAATTAAGTTGCGTTCCTGAGATAAAGCCGCCTGATTCTCCTCTCCATTGATTTACAGCAAGAGACGTCGACTTGGAAACTCACAAACTGGAAAGGGAAGGCAGAATGCAGGATCGCAAACATGAAGAGCAGATGCTGGAGGATTTGACCCTGAAACAGAAGAAAGAGTTGTTGAAAAAACTCGAGAAATTGGAGCGGAAGCGCGACCGGAAACTTAAAAAGAAAAGAAAAAGAAGCGCCGTGAAAAATCTCGTTGACCTCATCGCTTTGAACTACACACGTATGTCTCCAACGAGAGAGATGGAGAAATCGGATTGTAATCACCATAGCAACGCATCATGAATCATGAGGAGGACATCACCATGTCACCATGAACAATAAAACGCCCTCCATTCGTAATGAAACTGTGAACTATGCAGACGATGACATACTGCTGGTCACAGGCGCAATCGACTAAGTAGCGTTTCTTCAGGGAATCACCGACTATGTCTGTGGTTAGGATTCGCCAGAATCCGTTACTCTGTGAGGAGATAGTGTAATTGATTAGTAAGTTACGATGAAAAAAGATGATTCAGTGATGCGGCGGTATGAGAGACGGCGATGTCGGAGCTGGAATTCTGAGCGCCTTGTGTCACATGATGGGACTCCCATCGTATCCCGCGGATTATCTCCTGGTTCACGCTCCGAAAAAGATGCCTCACAACAGGGGATGAGCCAACTCCGAGTCGCCTCCCTCGGTATCGAGAACGATGCGAAATTCGAATTTCCCCCGTAACGGTTTCGTATCATCAATGGTTTCTGTGTTCATTAGTATACGTTTATTTTCACCGCCTGTGAGAAGGGTAGCCGGGACATCGACACGGCTCTATTAAGAGGCTTCACTCCCGCTGCGAAGCCAGAAACCCATCTGCATCTCTGCTCAGCACCAATGAAATCAGAAATATCTTAGAGATGACAATCGATGCGTACTCGATTCGATCCTCACCCCAGGGCGGGTCCCTCGACCCAACGAGCGGATTTATTCATTTGAAGGCGCTTCGGCGGGAGTCTGCCGCTCAAGAAGCGCAATCCTGGGGTTAGATCTCTGAGGGCCAATGATCCTCGTTTGGAGACATCTCCCGCGGTGAGCATCAACTTTTTCGAGATTGCTTGACATCGCTCCTCCTTGGTCAGTATGTGGAAGTGCCAAACCGTGCTGGTTTGTATCGCGACGAATCCTCTGCTTCTTCGGGCTGAATCCTCTCTCCCGACGAAGTCCGGATCCTCGGGGAATGCTCGGAGGAATCTGCGATAGAGTGCGCAGCCCAGCACGGAACGGACCCTCGGAGACCCCACAAGAACTCCGCGATAAAGTCGTACTTCACGTGGGTTGCGAGGAATATTGTGGAGTTCCGTTCAGGAGTGATCGACTGAAGCTCCAGCACGACGCTAGAAAACAAGATGTGCAGGTGCGGGTGTCAATGATGAAATTCACCCCGATTGTATGAGAGGACCTTCCCTATTGTAGTTCATGAGAGGTTTCAGTCGTTCTCGCCTCGATTCGGATGTTCCTCCATCGTTTTTATGACACGCATCAGGATATCCGATGACACTACATGAAGCAGGTTCCTAGAAGAGGAGGATCCAGGGCGACGAGGACGCTCCCTAAACCCGGCTCCGGCGGAGCGAACTTTGCTCCAAACAAGCCCCCCGACAACGGGGCGCAGCGATGAGCGCTCTGCAGACTTCCCGACGGCGTCGTAGAGCATTCGTTCCTCGTCCGAATATCCGTCGGCGTGCTTTGGATCGCGATACGGAGTCGTACGGAACGATCCGTCGTAGAGAAGCTTCCACCCAAGCTTGGGCTGAGCCGGAGGTCGGCAGTTCCGTGACGTGTACCCATGCGTCGACCTGGAGATCCTGAATCTTCCTTCCCTCGTACAGGGTACCCTCCAACAGACGAGCGGTCTGCGAACCTCCGGGGGGAGGACTTCGCCTTGGGTCAGCGCTCGCTCCGAATCTTCGGAGTTACTGATCGGGCGCGCTGTCATCGGGAGTACTCCTGCCAGATACAAGTTCTCTTCTGGATCGCCATCAACTTAATTGTCATCACGTTTGACAAACACCCCACTCGAGGAGGGGGCGGAATCGATCAAGGCGCCTCCTCAGGAAATGCGTGGGAACGCCTGCTCCAACAGGAAAGGCCACTGGTCTGACTTCCGGCGGCTAGATGGCGGAAGTCTATGGAAACTCTGATATAACACGGGTACTCCCCAGAGATAGTCACCCTTGAAGAAGACGGATATGCCCTACATTCAGGAAGAGCGCGGTACAGTCGAGTCTTCTCAACTGGATGAGCTCCCCTGATTTCCCGATGAGCTGTGTGCCCTGATTCAGGATTTTACCGCCAAAACGTTTCGAGCGTCCGGTTCATCATAAATCCTGAGTCACAAACATTGAAAGACGAGGGAAATACCTCCGAACATTCTACGCACGAAAGACCTGAGCTGATATTCGATTGTTTGCTTTATAAAAGTTTTTTCTTTATATATCTAGAAACCGTCGAAACCCGGGTTGAGGCGGCATTCGATGATAAAGACCCCTTTTTCCTCTTACTTAGAAATAGTATCTGAATCCGAAGCGTCTGACATAACATAAGATATGGGAACTGGCGAAAAGTTATTGAGCTTGGATTCCGCGGCGAGCTAAGCTCGGGTCTGAAGAAGTGCGGTGAATTCGGTTTTGCCGCCCAATCCAGAAGAAGCAGAGGGGGTGACTGCTTTTGTTTCGAATCTTGAGTCGCGTCTTCTTGAAGATGCCAGATGCATCTCTCCGATGAAACGTCCAACGTCGGACTCTCTCACTGAGGGTTCATTGCATGTATGCGCCTCGTGAGATTTCCCAGATACTTTCGAGACTCATCGGGCTCCGTGTACCTCGTGAGCTACGCAATCGAAGCGTTCAGCGGAGACTCTCGGTGGGGATCTAGGTCCCATGCTCTCTGCTCGAGCCCATCGTTGTGAAGACCGATCCGATTTGTGAACAGCGCGATCACTCTGCGGAGAAGGTTCCGGACATTCAAGGTAAACATTCTCATGAGTTGCTTCCGAATCGTGGTTCTCGGCTCATCCGCATAGAGGAAAGTCCAGGCAGCTCTCGACTTCGCCGACCGGGGACCAACTTTGAGCCTAAACGTTACCGAGCTCTCTGCTCGATGAGCTGAAGCAACGCCTCATACCGCAAATACGTACCGGGCCCCGTATTCAATTTGGTCCTAGAATCAAAGTGAATCCGGCCGATCCGCATTCGAGCTCGTTATCGGCGTCCCGATGAACAGTGAATCGATCGCCTATGAGCGACAGCGCACCTTACGTCGCCAGCGAATTCGGATTTTGGCGCCTACCTAAAATGGCGGACCAAGCAGTAAGAGCAGTGTGCTCTTCGAAGACGCCATGCCAGAGACAGAGGGCAGTCTTCTCTTTTACCGAAGCTGCGTTGTGATGTTTTTTTTGTATTAGTAATCACGAAACGAGCAACGAAATCAGCGTTGCTCTCTGACATCCTGCAGGACTCTGCTGCTTCTAGGTGAGCTGAACCAGGACGACGGACGCGCTCATAGTCATCAGGTATCGACTGCAGCGAAAACGAACTGCTCCTCTAGCTAAGCCTCGTGGCTGGCCGCCTCTGCTCGTGTGATATTGCGGCATAACGAACGCTGGGCAAGCTTCTCGACCAGAGGTTGGACCCGAACGACTCCTAGAGAATGTTCCACGGAAACAGTTCGAAGACTATGCAATGTTTCGAGCATCGCATGGTAACCGTTAGCTGAGGCGTGTCATACCTCTACGTTGTTGCGTAGCGGTGAATGCCGTCCAAGCCTTCTTGCGAGCAGGTACTTGGGCTGTATCGAGATCACCGCCCCAGTGGACATGAATTCGAACGAAGTCCTGGGAGTACGACTCTGTGCTTGATACTCAGACTACATTTACGGGAGCGTTGTGCATGCGATGGTGCGCGCGATTGAGGGAGTAGGAATGGAAGCGTAGTGACGAGTTCGGGACGAAAGTTCCCGCGAGCGTGCTCGCGACACGTGGGTCGATGATATCGAAGTGAATCATGCGCGATGACGATCTCCTTCCGGTGGAGTTCGTGGCGTCGATCGAGATATGCTGATGGCAGAGAGTTTCATTCAAATCCCATCGATTTCGGCTCCAGCTCGCGCAAGAGCCTGTTATCTAAAACGAGTCTTTCTTTGCTTCAGATCTCCGAGTGGATTTCGGACTCTTCTGAGTTGAGGAAGTCTCTCGTTCACGTTTTACCCCCTTGCGGACTGAAACTTGCTTTCCAATCTATGATCTAATGACTGAGTGCCTAAGCGTCTCAGGGGGACTACGGATGGAGCTGTCCAGCTGCTCTTCGACCTCCACCCTTGGTCAAAACGTCGCCGCGCTTGACGTGTTCTCTGCCGACGGTGAGGGCCGCCGATCGCCCACATCGCCACCTGCAGTCCCAGATTCAGCGGATGGTACCTCAGGCGTTAACGGCGCTCGCGAAAACAGCAACAGTGCCATCATCGCGAGCAAGAAATCCAACACTGAGCAGCGGCCAATCGCGGCTGAGGACAAGGATGCTGGAGCTTATGAGAATCTCTTCGTTGACGACGGAGAAAGCGAAGGCAAGCATGCCCGCCACGGCGATGGAGCCCACCTCTACGAATACAGGATACGGGAATTCAAATTCGGGGAAGGAGGCCCGCCAATGCTCGCCACGGACAACTTTGAAAATGATGGTGCGACTTTCGAAAATGATGAGAAGAACGATGACAAAGAAGGTGGAGACGTCGATGATCTCGAAGACCTGGTGCTGAACGACCTTCTAGACGGTCTGGAGGGAGAAGAATCCGCCACTCGTGAGGGCGTGTGCGGGGTCTGTCTGGAGCCGTATACCCAACCTCCACGTGTGCTTAATTGTCTGCACGTGTTCTGTGAAGCTTGCTTGGGGAAACAACAACGTCCTCTGAGCTCATCACCGAATCGCGGACAAGTCATCAACGCAGTGATCGCCTGCCCCAAGTGCCATACAGAAACCGAATGCACTCAAGGTCTTAAAAGTCTACCGCTCGACTACGTGTTGATCAATCGTTTGGACGCTGAAGCCATTCGTAGGAGAAGCGTCATCTGCACCAGTTGCAAGAGCGAGGTGAGTCTTGATTAGCGAGCAGTGGCTACGGCTGTACTCTCGTGCCGAACCTAGTCTCCATATCGATGGCTACCTTTCCGACAGGTCCATCGATCTCTATAACTAGGAAAATCAATTCCCCCGATCGGTACTCTAGAGTTGGCAGGTGTATCATGGTGCTGACATCGACTTACTGATCTACATCTCATGAATGATGGGCTTCCATCAGTCTTCAGGGCTCAGAACGATCTGCCTAATCCAACAGGATGGGGGCTTCGCGCAAAGAGCTCAGGAGACCGCTTCTATGTCCTCGAAATAGATTCTCGTGGAGCGGTGGATATCACACTCCCCTCTCTCCTCTACTGTCGAGCACATGAATCGCGATGTTTAAACGCCACTCCATATCATGATGTGTCGGGTGGTATTACTGGCATCCGACAAAGCGCATCCATGCAGTGATGAAGTCTTCAGAATCTAGAGAGGATCCCCCCGACTCCCAGTAGTGTTTTTCCGGGAACTCGCTGAACTATTTTCCCATTACTTTGAAGGACCATGCGATCGCTCGATGCCAGGATTGTTCGACGTTCCTCTGTTCGAGCTGCAGGAAAGCTCATTCATCGATGCTCTGTTTCGAAAACCACCAGGTCGTTTCATTTGAAGCGTTCGACCAGGAAACGGCTCAAATCCATCGCGCAGTCAGCTGCCTACGCCACCCTCGTGAAATTGCTCAACTCTATGATCCGACATGCGGAACCGTGAGTACAAGTTTCCGACGCTGGGACCATTCAACCTCGATTCCATGGCCTGGAAAATGCCCACATTTGACAGAGCTTTATAATCAAGGGACAGTAATCACCATACGCACTAGTCTGACTTGCCATGAACAGGGAGCAGGCTTAAATAGTTTGGCCACATTCACGCATGCATTCAAGTGTCTTCGAGACTTTTTCATCAGTCAGGGGCTGTGGAGTTATCGTAAGCGAGAGGGTATAGGGCACGCCGCGACTCACGCAGACTCATCTCGCGACTGCCGTGGCCTACCTTGTCCGATGATACGGATGCGTGAATCGATCAAGCCGTTCGGTAGCTTCGCCTAAGAAGGGTTCGCTCATTCTCGAATCGGGTGGGCCTTGATGAATAATAACACAGCCCGACAGCCAAAATCTAACAGAAAAAGTGGATACCCATACTAGGGTAAATCGGGGTCGCTGATCACGAATCCGG